TAATTTGTCAGAAAATCTTGTAGGTTCTACCGCCAAATATCTCCAGAATCCAGCCTGTCTCACCACTTCTGCTGCTACCACCATTTGTGGGGCCCCCACATTTTCCAACTGAATTTCTGCCGTCTCCTCTTAACTAGTTTCCCTGCTTCAACTCTTGCCCCACTATAGAATATTCTCAACCTAGAGGACAGGGCTCACCCTCTGCTCAGAACTCTTCAGTTTCCCCAGAATCAAAGCCAAAGTTCTCACAATGGCCAGACAAACTCTCCATGGTTGTTGGACTCTGCAATCTCTCTCATATCCTTCTCTCCTCACTTCCTCTGTGCCAGTCACACTGTCCTCCTTGCTGAGCCCCTAACACACCAGGCAAACTCCTGCCTCAAGGTCTACTCACTTAACCATTTATTTAATACCTCCTTCCTGCATAAGTACTGTATTAGGTTCTGTAGGGTGTACAAAGAATAAAATGAATGTGGTCTCTGCTCTCAATAGCATCTAAAATAACTAACTCATATAGCACTTTCAATGTGCATGGCACTCTTGTATATGCCTTAATTCATTTGACCCTCAACCCTATGAGATAGATTCTACTGTCATCCACAATTTATGAATGAGGTGACTAAGGAATATAAAGGTTAAGAAACTTACCCAACATTTTGCAGTAAGTAGTGGAGCCAAGATGCAAAGCTAGGCAGTCTGGCTTCAGATGTATACACTTAACCATTCTTCTCGTTAATAGAATTAACCTTGGGACTCTTGAGAAATTATCTATCCCAGGACCTTCACAAATGTTCACAGTGTCAAGCATGTGATTTCCCTACAAATATGTAGTTTTTGCACTGGCTGGAACGCTCAGTGAAAAAGCTTCCTGATACTTAGTTGTTATCTAATATTAATCACTAGCTAAGTGACTCAGTTCTTAACAGAAGTCTCGCTAGGTGCATTCATATTTGTACCTCAGTATTATCACAAATTATTATGTCTTTTATTTATATATGAACAGTTAAAACTTTGAATGTTAAATCTGCTTATGTCAAAGGTCTGCCACACCATGAAGCTGAATATAACTAAAGATAACTTCACTGCTTTGGGATTTACTTCTCTTAAGACATTATCATTACAGATTTGATTATATGGTAAACAAAACTTGTTGAGGAATAGAATATATTTTTATGTTAGGGCCTGTGCTTATATCCAGATGAGAAGTTTCGAAACATAATTGACCACGTATACCATTATCTTGATTTATAACTTGGTAATAAGCTCTTTTAAATAAAGATGCTTAGACACTAACTGCTTTGATGAAATTCTAAACACCCTGTCTATTTAATCCCGTGATATATTATGTAAACTTTCAGGCTGACATCACAGACTTTTTATTTATTTATTTAGAAATCCATGTGTCTGTACAAAAATCATCTCTTTTTCAGGAAAACATACTGAAAGAATCACATGTGGATGTTGGAATGCAGAAAATCTGCTTGCTTTAGGTGGTGAAGATAAAATGATTACAGTTAGTAATCAGGAAGGTGACACGATACAACAGGTAATACAGCATCATCTCTTTGGTCTGATATATTCAAAATTTCCCCCAGATAAATAGTTTGTCTGTCAAACTAATCTATAGAATTTAAAAATTTCTATGTGAGATGTATACAATAGCTTCATATCCTGAACATCAAAAATCTTTTTCTTTATGTATTAGAACATTTACCATATCCAAATATCCTCCTTTGTATATTTCCCTTTGTCTGTTATTAGCATAGATTATCAGCTCTGTGGTTATAGTCAGACAATATATTTGTGAAATAACTCTTATTTTATGTACATATACTTACAATATAAATGTTAGTAACTCGTGGATCCTGTGCTCAATCAGGTCTGCCTGATTCTAAAGCCCATACCTTTAACTGGTATGTTAAATTGCTTCCAAACTAATCCTAATTAAATTTAATTTTAAGATTAAAGTTTACTTCTATGGGTAGTAAACTTCAAATTTCCTAAGATTGGTTAGATTGGCAATTTGTGTTGCCAGTAGATGCATAATCTCACCAGTGGGAAAATTTCACTTTGGACTACTGCTTATGATTTAATATTGCTGGAGCAATATTGACTAACAAATTCTTTGAATACCTGCTAAGAACATGGCACTGTGCTATGTACTATAGAAGGAACATGAAATGTGTATTAATCATGTATTGCTGCCTAACAAATTACCTCACAACAAAGCAGCTAAAAACATCATTTATTATTTCATAGTTTTTGTGGATGACGAATCCAGCTGCAGCTTATCTGGGTGCCTCTGCCTCAGGGTCTCTCACAAGGCTTCAATCATGTTGTCAGACAGGGCTGAAGTCTCCTCTGAAGGCTTGACTGGGGGTAAATCTGCTCTAAGCTCACTCATGTGATTGTTGACAGGGTTCAGTTTTTTACAGGTTGTTAGACTCAGGACCTCAGTTCCTTTCTGGCTATTCACCGGAAGCCTTCCTCATTTCCTAGCCACATGAATCTCTCCATAGAGTGCCTCACAAAATAGCAGCTGGCGAGAATGTGAGAGTAGCCATTTAAGACTTCAGCCACAGTTTATCATATTCTGTTCTTTAGAAGTGAATTACTAGGTCCAGCCCACACTCAAAGGGGCAGGGATGGGGATTATACAAGGCATAGAACCATGAGATAGGGATCTTAGAGGCTGCTAACCACAGGACCCTACTCTCAAGAAGGCATTACTGGCTGGCTGCTTAGCTCAGTTGATTAGAGCATGGAGCTCATAACAACAAGGTCCAGGGTTCAATCCTTGTAACAGCCAGCCGCCAAAAAAGAAGAATAAGGTATTACTAATCATTACAAAACAAACATGGCCCTATATGATTATCACTTTTTATGGTACAGCTTCCAAGTCCTATAGCATTTGGGAGATGGAGGAGATCAATGAAAGTTGGAATGTGAATCTTTAAAGAACAGAAGGCAGTCTTATACCCAAGTCAGGGTATAAGCTAATCTGTTGTAACAGATAGACCCAAAATTATAGGGGCTGTAAGAAATGACAGTCTGGATTTTTTTTTTTTTTTCCTCTCTCTCTCTCATTTAACAATAGAAAGATAGGCAGGTCATCTAGGTACTTCTGCTTTACAAAATTACACAGAGCTCCAGGGTCCTTCCATCTTATGTTCTGCCATGTTCTAGGGTATTGTGCCCTAATCTTCAGAGTTGAAGCTACTGCACCAGGATTACATCTGCATTTCAACCCCAGGAAAGGGAGAAAGAGAAGTGGGGTACAAGAAATCTGTAAAGAACCTGATCAGAAAGATGCATTTATTATTTCCATTCATATCGTATGACTGCAACCTAGTCATATGATCACACCTAACTGCTACTAAGGAAACCATAAATTTAGTCTACCTAGGTGACCATGCACCTGCCAAAATTGTTTTAGTGGATAATGCAAAACATTTAGTAGTCTCCGTTATTCAGTATAAGCAGAACAGCATGAATAAAGATATGAGAAAAAACTTATTACAGCTTGTTCATGGCTTTTTCAAGCCTGACCTAACTGAAGGTAGGGGCATTGATTGAGAATTTATAGAAAATAAGGCTGAACAAAGTTGGTTCCTATATATGGAAAGCTTTGAAAGTTAGGCAGAAGTAAGTCTACCATGTTGAACAGAGCCATAGCATGATTAAAGTGGTTCTTAAGATTATTAATCTTGCATTATAAAAAATTGCTTGCTATGACATAGTTTCTAGAGACCTTTTAATTTAATAGACCTTTAATTTCTATTTTTGGATGCCCTTTAGAAATAAAATGGTAGATATTCAGTATAAATGCTACAGCTCCCCGCTCTTGTGTCCATATCAGACAGCACCAATAGGATATTCGATTTTTTTTTCTCCACTGAATCAAGCCATGGCCTTAGAATATTTTTTCTACATAGTATCCCAGGAAGTCACTACCATCCAGCCATTATTTACATGCAAGATAACTATTTCCCATTTCCAATTCTTCAAAAATCTTCTTCCAAACACTACTTAAGTTGTCATGTGATAAGCAAAGCATACATTATAAATATTGCTTCCTTTTGTATTTTCTTTCAATTGTTTTAAACTTTGGTATTCTGCAGATCACTACAGTGTTACTGGTAAGGATTTATTTTTATTTATCAAGATTTTGCTCAAGACTTGCCTTGCTTCCTGAATCTGAAGATTGCTCCCTTTCATCAATTCAGGAAAATTCTAGTCATTATCTCTTTCAGTTTTACCTCTTGCCTTTTCTATTCTGTCCTTCTTGAGCATCTGTTAGACATATGTAGGGTCTTATGATATCTCTTAATCTCTCTTTCATACTTTCTGTATTTTTGTCACTTGTGGATCATTTCCTCAAGTTAGTTCACTTATTCTTTCCACACATTTGACTAATCATCTGTCTATCCAATTGAGTTTTTGTATTTTAATGACTCTACTTTTTATTTTTAGAAAGTACTTTGTAGTTCTTTAAAAAATCTGCCTGAAATATATGCATAAACAATTCACACAAAGATATATAAAAATACTGTACACAGGTATTGATATTCAAATCTGTACCCCACAAATATGTATAATCAATTATATTTCAATTAAAAAGTCTGTCAAAAAATATATATAAGTGGCTGTCATACATATGAAAAAAGTCAACCTCATAAGTAAATAACTACAAATTAAAACCACACCAAAATACCATTTTTCACCTGTCAAACTGGCAAAATTACATATAATATGATTATATATTCTGCTGGTGGAATTGGAGATAAATTGCCCCTTCTGAAGGGAAATTTGAAAATAGCTAACAAAACTACATATGCACTTACCTTTCAACCCAGCAATATCATTTCTAGGACTCTACCCAGAAGGTACACCTCCCACAATATAAAATAACATATGAATTTTTTAAATATCTGCCTGAAAATAAGTCTTTTCTCATATTTATGAGTCCTTTTATATCTTTAGTCATTTAAAAAGTACTTAATTATCTCTCTGTGATAACCGTACAGGGTTACTTCAAAAAGTTCATGGAAAAATGGAATTAAAAGATAATACAAATCTTTCCATGAACTTTTTTTTTTTTTTCCTTTTTGTCTTTTTTCGTGACTGGCAATGGATCGCAACCCTCAGTGTCGTGCCCGTACCGGACCGGGACCAGCAACGGGATCGCAACCCTCGGTGTTGCGCCCGCACCTCGCTCAGCCAGTGAGCGGCCGGTCTGTATGTAGGATCCGAACCCTCGGCGGGAGCGCCCCTGCACTCCCAAGCGGCGCACTGTAGCAGTGCGCCCCGGGCCAGCCCCCCATGAACTTTTTTGAAGTACCCTCATATTATTTTTAGATCTGCTGACTCTTGCACTTGATGCATTGTTTTGTTGTTGGTTTTGTAATTTTGAATTGTGCTCATTGCCCTTGGCCCAGAAGGAGGCAAGAGAGCAATGCCTAGGGTCCCAAAGCCAGTGCCCTCCACCTGGAAGCAGGCAAAAAAGCAATGCCTGAGGTCCTAGGCAGGAGCCGAGGGCAGCATGCCCCACACAGAAGCAGGCAAGAGAACATGTCAAAAACACCACTTCCATGTGGGTGGCCCACCACAGCCACCACCACAGCCATGGCTGCTATAAAAGTGGCTTGATGACACAGCAGTAGCCATAGGCACCATGCAGGTGTCTTGCCAGAGACTCAACTGAATTTATACAAGGAGAGTCACCAGCGGAGACTGGAAAAAGAAGAGGACATCTCTTTCATCAAAGCCTACTCCAAAGTAATAGAAGAAGCCACTACTCTACCAGATAACCAGACATCAACATAGAGACTAGAAATATGAAAACCCAAGAAAATATGACACCACCAAAAGAATACAGTAATTCTCAAATACCTGATCCAGTAGAGCAGGAAACACTTGAAATGACTGGAAAGGAATTCCAAGAAATAGTCTTAAGGAAACTCACTGAGATATGAGAAGACTCAGTTAGACAACATAATGAAACAAGAAAAAAAAATCCAGGATATGCAGGAGGAAATTTATAAAGAGATTAATAACTTAAAAAAGAACGTAGCAGAACTCATGGAACTGAAAGATTCACGCAACAAAATAAACACAACCGATAGCTTAAGCAGCAGGCCAGAACAAGCAGAAGAAAGAATGTCTGAGGTTGAAGATAGTTTTTTTGAAATAAACCAGGCAGACTAAAAAAACGAAAAAAAAATTTAAAAATGAAGAAAACCTAAGAGAGCTAGCAGACAACCTTAAGCGCACAAATATTCAAATTATGGGTGTTCTGGTAGGGAACCAGAAAGGAAAAGGCATGGAGAACCTAGTCAACAAAATAATAATGGAAACTTCTTGGGTACAGGGAAAGACAATGACTTTCAGATCCAGGAGGCTCAATGATCCCCAAACAGATTTAACCCAAAAAGAACCTCTCCAAGACACATTATAGTCAAACTGGCAAAGCTCAAAGACAAAGAAAGAATCTTAAAAGAAGCAAGAGAAAAGTGTGAAGTCATCTATAAGGGATCCCCTATCAGATTAACAGCAAACTCATCAACAGAAACTCTATAGTCCAGAAGAAAATGAGATGATATATTCAAAATACTAAAAGAAAAAAACTGCCAGCCAAGGATAATATATCCATCAAGCCGTCCTTCAGAAATGACAGAAAAATATTGTATTTTGCAGAAAGACAAAAACTGTGTGAGTTCAGCACTACACAATGAGCCCTACAAGAAATCCTGAAGGAAATCCTGCATCTGGAATCCGAAAAATGATAATCACTACCACGAATACACAAGAAAGAGCAAAACTCACTGGTAAAACAAAAATGCAAATGAGAAAGAAAAAGAAACTAATTCTTACTACCACGAAAAAACATAAAGACGGTGTGATAATACCCCTGCTTTGTTTCTGATTTTAGTAATTTCGGTCTTCTCTCTTTTTTTCTTTTCAGCCTAGATAAAGGCTTGCAAATTTTTTTTTTTTCCTTTTTGTCTTTTTTCGTGACCGGCAACGGATCGCAACCCTCAGTGTCGCGCCCATACTGGACCGGGACCAGCAACGGGATCGCAACCCTCGGTGTTGCGCCCACACCTCGCTCAGCCAGTGAGCGGCCGGTCTGTATGTGGGATCCGAACCCTCGGCGGGAGCGCCGCCACACTACCAAGCGGTGCACTATAGCAGTGCGCCACCGGGCCGGCCCGAGCCTTGCAAATTTTGTTGATCTTTTTAAAGAATCAACTTTTGGTTTTTTGATTTTCTCCATTGTTTTTTAATTCCCTATTTCATATATTCCTGTTGTAATCCTTGTTATTTACTAATATTTGCTTTTGTTTTAGTTTGCTTCTACTTTTTCTGTTTTCTTAAGGTAGAGGTTTACATTACTGATTTGAGATTTTTCTTATTTTTAATAAAGGTGTTTACAAGCATAACTTTTCCTCTCAGCACTGCATGAGGCCTGCATCCTATAAATTTTGATGTGTTACACTTTGGGGAAAAAGAAAAGAAAAAAAAGAATTGTACTCATCTTCAGCAGGGTTGTTCTATGGAATTTTTTTTGCAACATTGGAAAACGCTCTGGATTAATTTTTGCCAAGCACTGCAGAGATATTCTGGACCTGGATCCTTCTACTTTTTATATTAATTTCTCACCTTGGGAGCTCCCAGATCACTCAGCGTATAAATTTGAACATCAGAGCCAGCCCCGTGGCTCACTCAGGAGAGTGCAGCGCTGGTAGCACCGAGGCTGCGGGTTCGGATCCTATACAGGGATGGCTGGTGCGCTCACTGGCTGAGCGTGGTGCAGACGATACCATGTGCAGAGGGTTGTGATCCCCTTACCAGTCCAAAAAAAAAAATTGAACCTCAGACTATAATGAGGATAGGGAGGCATATCTTTGATTACAAATTCTTGAAATGAACTAACTTTGTTTTTTTCTGACTCAGAGCTCAGGCTAAGACAAATGGGCTTCCCTATTGTCTCCCTTTACCAGCTGCTCTGGGTAGCTACAGCATCAGTTTCTGCACACACTCTGGTTTTAGTTTGATCATTGTTGATGGTCCCAGTAAATTTCCCTTTTCTTCTTTCAAGCTTATATATCCATTTAATAAGATATGTGTTCTGTTTCATCCTGAATTTCTTGTTATTTTTAGCTAGATATTTGTAGGATTTCGAGGTTCTTAGTCCAACATTAATCAGAGATGAAAGCAAGTTACCTGTTTTGTTAATATTTAGTGAATTTGAATATTGGGTTTGTTCACAGTGATGATATTTTTACCCCTGCAGACATCAGTGAGTTCAGAGCCTAGCAATATGCAGTTTTCCATGATGAAGACTGATGACCGAACCTCTGCTGCAAAAAGCACAGTAAGAATTCTAAGTCAAATCTATTCCCAAATTATTTTGAAAATTTTGTAGAATTTACCGTTTCCTTTTCTCAGATGGTTCAGATAGTGGTAAATAAATTATGTCCAATTCTTATTAAATCAAGGCAGGGCTTAGTCTCTTAGGCCTAAAAGTTGTTTTTGCTTCTGCTGACCACCTGGTATCACAGCAAATGAGGACAGTTTCCTGTTGCAGTGGGTGTAGCTCTTTTCATTCTCATGGTAGCAAAAACAGTGGGGTACCATTAAGAACAGAAGTATTGATTTCTATATGATTTTTCAATTTTCACTTTGTCAAATGTGGTGACCAGAGTTCTGGAAATTGTAACTTTTGTTTCTCTAATACTTAGATGCATTTTTCCTGTCACATTTTATCATTCCAAAATCCAGATGATTTTTACAATCGACATGAATATATTTAATGAAGTAATATTTCTTTGTTTAATAATAATGCTATTATTAAATTGATAGTGACTTACAATTGATAACATCTTAGAAACAAGGAAATCTGTCAAAATGTCATCTTTAATGAGCCCAAATAAGTAATATACTCTTTTCTCTCCACAATACAATTACACCCTCCACAGGAAATTTAGTATTTACTTGCATGAGTAGTAGAGGCACACTAGTTTAGCCGCACTGACCTGCAGCTGATAGAAACAGAGGGTATATTCATGATATGTAAAGCGAAGGACCCTGACTAGAATATATATTAGTAAATGCATTTTTTAAGTTAGCCACATCATTGTACTAATTATAGCATTTAGCAGATCTAAATTTGGCTTGTTGTTTTCATAAATTAAGTTCAGCTGTTTGGATTTGCTTATTGGTCTTTTCACAAAGTATTGAGTAATTCATTTCATAATCTCCTAATCTTTTCTGGCAGATAAGTGTGGTAATTGGCAAGAAAACTTTGCGTCTTTTTAATATGAATGAACCAGATAACCCAATTGATCTGGAATTTCAACAGCGCTATGGCAACATTGTCTGCTATAGTTGGTATGTACAAGAAGCTCATTACAGGAAGATATCCACATGTTTTTCCTTACTAATTATATTTAATTTTTGTCTGTAACATTCAATTCTAAATATAATATTTTCTGAATTATAGTCTGTGATTTATTATGTGCAACTGCTTAGCATATTATATGACACATAGTAGGCCCAAGATAAATTATATTCTATAATTCCTTAATTTTAAGGTATTTGCTAGTTTACTGTATTGCCAATGATAGTTAATGTCCTTCTTTTACCATATGGTTGCCTGTGTCCCTGTAGGTATGGCGATGGCTACATCATGATTGGTTTTTCACGTGGAATTTTTATTGTCATTTCTACTCATACTCGAGAGACTGGTAAAGAGATATTTCAGGCTCATGACCATAAAGATAATCTAACCAGTATTGCAGTATCACAAACTCTTAACAAAGCTGCTACGTGTGGAGATAACTGGTAAGTTATATTTACATATTTCTAGGAAAGTTTATTTAGAGGATTCTCAAGAGAATCAACAAGACTGGTAAGTAATATGAATCTGGCAATCCTACTGTTTTATACTCTTAAAACATGTTTGCAATTGAAAACTTCTAAGACTCTTTTACTCTTGCCTTTAAAACTCAGGGCAAAAATATAAAACAGAGTGTAGTGAATTGATTTACGTCCCCCCAAAACTCACTGAAATTTGAATTGTGTCCCCCAAGCTTTATATATTAGAAAATTGGCCCCCACTGTGACTGTTAGGAGGGTCGGAAATCCTATTATGGTAATCAAAAGGTGGAGCCTGGAAGAGGTGGTTAGATTGTAGGACCACGCCATAGTGAATGGACTAAAAATGGTGGTCAGGGGCATGGTTCTGAGGGCTTTAAAAAGAGTGAATGAGAAGATATCTCTCTCTCTCTGTGCTCTCTCTGCTTCCACCATATTTCAATGCGAGACCCCTGGGTCACTGTCACCACCACCAGATGGACTTTGGACTTCCCAGGCTCAGAAACTGTAAGCAATAAATTTCATTTTTAGTTTATAAATTACCCAGTCTCAGGTATTCTGTTATGGCAACACAAAACAGATTAATATACAGAGTATGCTTGAAAAGCAATCTTAAAAATAAAATAGGCAGTTCTGGGTAACATGGAGTAAGCACATTCCACCCTCTGTCTCTCACTGAATACGGCTACAAAACCTGGACAGAATGAATCAAGCAGCTATTCAAGGACTCTGAAAAGTAAATAGTAGAAGGCAGATTGAAGAAGACCAGAATTCAAAATACCACCAAACCATTTCCCATTTGTCCTCTGTCTCTCTCAGTCAGGACTCAAGGCAGCCTGAAACCTGAAGTTGGCAGTAGAGCACAGAGAAAGCTCTAAGAGAAGCCCTCTAGTTCTGGCTCAGGTTATAGGAAAGAGAACTCCTAACACTCAGAGGTAGTTGGGAAAATCCCCCAATTTTCTTTTTTTGTTATTTTTTCTCTCGTGCCCCAGCCACCAAGCAGTCCCACCATGGCAGTGACAATGAGGACCCCAGGCACCTAAAACTCTGATAGTGAGTAATCTTTCTCTCCAATTAGAGGAGTTGTGGTCCCAAGAAGGTGGGGCAAGCCCCTGTTGCTTATTTTTTTTCTCTGTCCTCCCACTACTTGACCACAGATGCTGGTGCAATTGTGAGAAATATGAGATAGAACAGGGTAACTGAGCCCCAGCATTCCCCGAGGCCCAAAAAGGGGAGCCCTAGGGAACCAGAAAGTACCAAGTTGATCACAGAGAAGGAGGAACTCAGGAAAGCAACCTTGTAAAGATATTTATGAACTCCTGGGTTTACCCCTGAGCTTATATATGTAGATCTTACCCTAAACATACACCAAAGACTTTGAGAACTGAGCTCAGGGATAGATCATAGTCGAAGTCCCATTCTGGCCACTGAGTGGGCCATACAGAAACACATCTGAATACTGCTGCAAAGGCTTTGAAAATGGAACTAACACTGAAACCATAACCCACAGAAGGCTGCTTGAAACTTGTGGCCTGAACTCAACTGTGTTGATTGCCTGCTGAAACAAAAAAATTAACCTTCTCTGTGGGATTTAGATTTGACAGAGTCTTATAGTATAATTTTAACAATGTGCAAAATATAACCTAAAATTACTTGGAATATGAAGAATAAGGAAAATTTTAACTCACTTGGGAAAGGGCAATAAAAAGACACCAGTGCCAAGATGATGCAGGTAGCAGCTATTATAGAAATTCTCCAAGCAGTAATGCTAATACTCCTTACACAAATGGAAATATAGAAAATCTCAGAAAAGAAATAGAACCTGTAAAGAAGAAACAAGTGGAAATTTTAAAATTAAAGTAATGCAGTAAATACAATGGACTTAATGGCAAATGGAGATCACAGAATAAAGAGTCAGTGAATTTGAAGATAGATTAATAGAAAATATTCAATCTGAACACAGACAGAAAAAAGATAGAAAAAAGTTGGTAGAGTCAGGGACCTGTGAGACAATGCCAAAAGTTCTAACATCTGTGTCATCAGAATCCCAAAAATAATGGCTGGAAACTTCTTTATGGCAAAAAACATAAGTCTACATATTATAGAAGCTCAGCAAATCCCAAAAAAGATAAGCCCAAAGAAGTCTAGGCCCAGGCACTTCATAACCAAACTGCTGAAAACTAAAGATAAAGAAAAAAATCTTGAAAGCAGCCAGAGAATAACATTTTGAAGGACACTGGATTTCTCACCATAAATCATAGCACCCAGAAGGAAGTGTCACAACATTCTTAAAGTGCTGAAATAAAGCACTGTCCCAAGGTCAAGGGTTCAGATCCCCATACCGGCCAGTCACCAGGGGGGAAAAAAAAGGAAAAGCACTGAGAACTGCAATTCTATATCCAGTAAAAATATCCATTAGTAATGAGGGCGAAATAAAAGCATTTTCAGATGAATGAAAATGAGAATTTCCTGCCAGCAGACCTGCTCTATAAGAATTGCTAACAGGAGTTCTTCAGATAGAAGAGAACTGAAGACAGAAGGAAATTTGGGACCTTAAGAATGAAAAGAGAATAATAGAAATGGTAAATATCTGAGTAAATATAAGATTGGTTTTTTTCTTTTGATATCTTTAATATATATGTGACAGTTGAAAGCAAAAATTATAATAGTGTCTGATAGGGTATTCAGTACATGAAGATGCAATACATAAGACAACTACAATATAAAGGGGAGGGGGTAAAAGGGTCTATATGTGATAAGATTTCTACATTTCACTTGAAATAGTAAAATTTTTATTTTAAGTAGACTGAAACACTAAATTATGTATGTTGTAATCTAGAACAGCCACTATAAAAACTGTACAGAGAGATGTATACAAAAGCACAATGGGTAAATTAAAATGAAAAACTAAAAAATGTTCAAATAATCTCAACAAAGAAAAGAAAAGGAAAACAGAAGGATGAAAGATAGAGGAACAAACAGAAAACAAATAATAAAACAGTAGACCTAAATTATTTATCAGTAACTACATTAAATGTAAATGACAAAGTTATTAGACATAAACAGTTAAAATGAATTTTTCAAATGACCTTATTATAATGCTGCCTATATGAAACTCACTTCAAATACAATGATATAACTAAAAGTAAAAGGATGGGAAAAAATAGTGCAAATGCTAATCAAAAGAAAGCTGTGGGTAGCTACATTGATACCCAACAAAGTAGACTTCAGAGTTGTCTTAGTCATTTCATGCTGCCATAACAGAATACTTGAGACTGGATAATTTATGAAGAACAGAAATTTATTTTTTACAGTTCTGGAGGCTGAGAAGTCCAAGGTTGAAGGACCCTCATCTGGCAATGGCCTTCTTGCTGCATCATCCCATGGTGGAAGGGCAAGAGAGTGTGCATGAGAGAGAGAGCAGAAGGGTGCTAAACTTACCCCTTTATTAGGAACTCTCTCCCAAGATAGCTAACCCATTCCTGCATTAACAGCATTAATCCATTCTTGAAGACAGAGCCCTCATGACCTAATCACCTCTTATAGGTCTCACCTCTTAACACTGTTGCATTGGAGATTAATTTGCAGCACACGAACTTTGAGGGACACATTCAAACCAAAGCAAGAGTAAAGAAAATTACCAGGGTATAGAGGGATATTACATATTGATAAAGGCTCAGTTCACCAAGAAGCTATAACAGTTCTAGATGTGTATGCACCTAACAACATAGTCCCAAATTATATGATGTAAAAACTGGCAGAATTGAAAGGAGAAATAGACAATTAACAATAATAGTTGGAGACTTAAGTACCCCATTCCAATAAATATTTAGAACCAACTAGGTAGAAGATCAACAAAGAAATAAAAGAATTTGGACAACACTATAAATCAGCTAGACCTAATAGACATTTATAGAACACCATACACAACAATAGTAGAATATACATTTTTTTCCAGTGCCCATGGAACATTCACCAAGATAGACCATATCCTGGGCCATGAAACAAGCCTCTACAAATTTAAATTGAATCATACAAAATATGTCTCTGAGCATAGTATTCTCAAACTAGAAATCGATAACAGAAAGATAGCAGGGAAATATCTAAACTCTTAGGAATTAAACAACATATTTCTAAATAATTTGTGGGTCATAGAGTCTCAAAGCAAATTTTAAAATACATGGAATTGATGGAAAATGAAAATACAACATATCAGAATATGTGGGAGATAGCAAAAGCAGTACTGTGAAGAAACTTCATAGCACTAAGTGTTTACATTAGGAAAGAAAACAGTCTCAAATCAATAATCTAAGTTTCTACCTCAAGAAACTAGAAAGAGAAAAGCAAAATAAGCCCAAAGCAAAAGGGATAAAGTAATAAAGAGCAGAAATTAGTAAAATTAAAAATAAAAATATAGGAAAAAATAAAACAAAAAGCTAGTTTTTTGAAAAAAATAAAATTGATAAACCCCTAGCAAGACTGACAAAAATAGAAAGAGAATAAATACAAATCACCAATATCAGGAATGAAACAGGAGTATCTGCAGATCTGAAAGCCATTAAAGAATAATAATGGAATACTACAAACAACTTCACACTCAGATATCTGACAACTTGTGAGAAATGGAACAATTCTTTGAAAACCACAAACTACCAAAGTTCAACCCAGATGAAATAGATAATCTGAATTTGCCCAGTTACCATTAAAGAAATTGAATTAGTAATTCAGATTTCCCAAAATATGTCTCCCCAAATAACCCAGAATGCTACCAAACAGTTCTAAAAGGATTAACACAAATTTTACACAATCTCTTTCAGAAAATAAAAGAGGAGGGAACACTTCTCAACTTATTGTATAAGTCTGGTATTACCCTTATACAAAACCAAACAAAAGCAATATTTAAAAAGAAAAGAAAACTACAGATCAATATCGCTCACGAGCTTGGGTACAAAAATCCTCAACAAAACATAGCAAACTGAATCCAGTAATGTATAAGAAGAATTATACCTCATGACCAATATGATTTATTCCAGGTGTGCTATGCAAAGCTGGTTCAACATTTGGAAATCAATATAATCACCATATCAAAAGCTAAAAAAGACAAACCATATGATCACATCAATTGACAGAAGAAGCATTTCACAAAATCCAGCACCCATTCATGACAGAAAAAAACTCAGCATGTTAGGAATAGAGAGGAATTACCTCAACTTGATAAAGAACAACTACAAAAAATCTACAGCTAGGGCCGGCCCGGTGCCGCACTGCTACAGTGCACCGCTTGGGAAGCGCGGTGGCGCTCCCGCCGAGGGTTCGGATCCCACATACAGACTGGCCGCTCACTGGCTGAGCGAGGTGCAGGAGCAACACCGAGGGTTGCGATCCCGTTGCCGGTCCCGGTCCGGTACAGGCGCGACACTGAGGGTTGCGATCCGTTGCCGGTCACGAAAAAAGACAAAAAGGAAAAAAAAAAAATCTACAGCTAACATCATGCTTAATGGTGAAATACTGAATGCTTGTCCCCTATGATTGGTAAAAAGGCAAGGATATCTGCTATCACTGCTCTTATTCAACCTAGTATTATTAGAAATTCTAGCCACTGCAGCAAGGCAAGAAAAAAAAAAAAACAGCACTCAGATTGGAAAGGAAGAAGTAAAACTATCTCTATTTGCAGATGACAGAACTGCTTATGAAGAAAATCCCAAGGAATCTTACAAAAAAGAAACTCCTAGAACTAAAGCTAATAGTGAGTTGAGCAAGGTTGTAGGATACAAGATCAACACACAAAAATCAATCACATTTCTATATACTAACAATGAACATGTGGACATCAAAATTTAAAACAATACCATTTTCAATCACTCCAAAGAAAATGAAATACTTTAGGTTTACATCTAACAAAACATATACAGGGTCTATGCTGAAAATTACAAAATGCTGATGAATGAAATCAATTAGATGCAATAGATGAGACATACTATGTTCAAAGATTGGAAAACTCGGGCCGGCCCAGTGGCGCACTGGAGAGTGCACCGCTTGGGAGCGCGGTGGCGCTCCCGCCGAGGGTTTGGATCCCATGTGGAGACCGGTTCCCGCTCACTGGATGAGCACGGTGTGGGCGCAACACCGAGGGTTGCGATCCCGTTACCGGTCAGTAAAAAAAGACAAAAAGGAAAAAAAAAAAAAGATTGGAAAACTCAACATAGCAAAGATGTCAGTTCTCCCAAGTTGATCTACAGTTTAATGATGTTCATATCAAAATCCCAGCATGATTTTTGGTAGACATGGACAAGATTATTCTAAAATATATATGGAAAGGCACAGGTCCTAAATTAGTTAAAAACAATCTTAAAAAAGAACAGTAACGGAAAAAGACAAAAAGGAAAAAAAAAAAGAACAGTAAAATGGGAGGAATCATTCTACCTGATATTAAAACTTACTATGTAGCTACAATATTCAAGACCATGTAATATTGGCACAGAGAAAGACATATAGATCAATGCAATAGAATAGAGAATCCAGAAATAAACCTGCACAAATATGCACAACAGGTTCTTAACAAAGGTGCAAAAGCAATTCAGTGGAAGTAAGATGGCCTTTTCAACAAATGGTGCTGGAGAAACTGGACATCCACAAGCAGAAAAAAAAAAAAAAAAAAAAACCTCAACCCAAACCTCACACCGTAATAAAAAATTAACTCAAAATGGATCATGGGCTTAAATGGAAAAGGTAAAACTATAAAATTTTTAGGTGAAAAAATCTTCTGGATCTGAGTCTAGGCAAAGAGTTTTTAGACTTGAAACCCAAAGCATGGTCTCTAAAAGGAAAAACTGATAAATTAGATTTCATCAAAATTAAAAACTTTCTTTCCGTGAAAGATTCTGTTAAGAGGATGAAAAGATAAGCTACAAAATTAGAGAAAATATTTGTAAACCACATATCCAACAAAGGACTAGTATCTAGAATACATGAAGGAATTTCAAAACCCAATAGTGAAAAAGGAAACAATTTAATTAGAAAATGGGCAGAAGACATAAACGTGCATTTCACCAAAGAGCATATACAGGTGACAAATACCTGAAAACCTGTTCAACATCATTTGCCTTTAGGGAAATGCAAATTAAAGCCACAATAAGATATCACTACCCGTCTCTCAAGATGGCTAAAATTAAAAGTGGTGACAATGTCAAATACTGGTGAGGATGAGGAGAAATTGTATTACTCCTACCTTGCTGGTAGGAAGGTAAAGTGGTTACAGCTACTCTGGAAAACATATTGGCAGTTTCTTAAAAAACTAAACATGCAATTACCATATGACCCAGCAATCGTACTCCTGGCCACTGATCCCAGAGAAATGAACACATGTTCACACAAAAACCTATATATGAATGTTTATAGCAGCTTTATTCATAATAGCCAAAAACTGGAAACAACCCAGATGTCCTTCAGTGGGTGAATGGTTAAGCAAACTGTGGTACATCCATACCGTGGAATACTACTGATTAATAAGAAGGAACAAAGTATTGACACATAATTCTTACGAATTTCCAGAGGATTATGTGAGTAAAAAAAGCCAATCTCAAAAGGTTGCACACTGTGATTTCGTTTATGTAATGTTCTTGAAGTGACAAAAGTAAAGAAATGAAGAACAAAATAGTGATTGCCAGGGGTTAGAGACAGGGCTGGTGTGGGAGGATGGAAGTGAGTGTGTTTATAAACAACATGAGGGATCTTTGTGGTTATGGAGCTGTCTGTATCCTGATTGTGGTTCTGGATCTCAGGAATCTCACATGTGAGAAAATCGCATAGAACTACACACACACACACACACACACACTCTCTCTCTCTCTCTCTCTCCCCAAGTAAAACTGGGAATATCTGCATAACATTCATGGACTGTATCAATGTCAGTATCCTGATTGTGATATTATACTCTAGTTTTTCAGGATGTTGCCATTGTGGGGAAAAGGATACACAGAATCTCTCTGTATTACTGCATGTGTATCTACAGTTATCTCAAAATAAAATGTTTAATTGAACAAAAACAATGAGGGAAAAAATGTAAGAGGAAAACACTGGGAAGAAAGAGTAGGAGGGAGAAAAGGAGACAAGGAGAGAAGAAATGTTAAAATTATTAGGTCCTAAAATTGTGCTACACAACTTTCATTTGCATTATTCTCTTTCTTCCTAATAACCTTATGAAGTAATATTATGCCCCTATTTTTCACAGCTTTCAGTCTAGGCCTTCTGATTGTAAATCAAATGCCCCTTTTTTGGGGGAAAAGATTACATTGTAAAGAGAAACCTGTATCATCTACAATCATGAATACCGCTCAGGGGAATATTTTCCTATTCAAACTTCTACAGGACAATTTTAACCTTCTTGTTCCTGAAGCTATAAACAGAGAATTAAGCTGGACAAAACCCTCCCCCTCACACACATTAAAAAACCAAAACCAGAAAAACCAAGAAAATTTTAAAAGATAAAACATAACTAAGTACAAGGGGTAGTCAGTTAGCTCACTTGGTTAGAGTGCAGGGCTGATAACGACAAGCACCAAGGTCAAGGGTTTGGATCCCTGTCCTGGCCAGCCACCAGAAAAAAAAAATTTATGTGTGTGTGTGTGTATAAAATGTGTGTTTGTTTTGGCAGCTGGCTGTATATATAATTAAATACAGAAATTCTAAAATTTTCTTACCTTAACCCAATAGATCATCCTGTACATACCATTTTGGAGACTGCTGACCTATTGCATAGTTTATAATTTTTTGTGAACTAAACCAATTTTATATAAGGCTTATATATATTTAAAATATATATTTTTTTTATTTTTCAGCATTAAAATCCATGACTTGGCAGAATTAAAAGACATGTATGCTATAATCAACCTAGATGATGAAAATAAAGGTACTGATTTTTCTGAAGCCAGATTGACATTTTATTATTCCAGTTACAGAAAGTAATGTGTTTGTTATTGTGTGATTTGCATTCATTGCAGGAGGAATAAAATTAACACCTTTTACTAGAGTTCTCTAGAATAGTCTCCTTTTTTTAGTAATTATGTTGTCATACTACTTGACGAGAAGGATGTACCTTAATTCCAATTGTAAAATGTAAATTCTTATATATTTTCTCATTGAGCCATCTTGAATGAGTCAGTGCTCATATTCTAATGCCAGTCCATAGTGAATTTCCAAGTCTAAATAAAGACTATTTAAACTAGTAAAGAAAACATTTGAAGACTTTTATGCCTCTGGTAGCTTAATGAAAATATTTGCTTGCTTACCTGCAACAGTATATTGCTTTTGAACAATCATTTATTTTGTCAATTATTTCAGGGTTGGGTACCTTGTCCTGGACAGATGATGGCCAGTTGTTGGCATTGTCTACCCAAAGGGGCTCACTCCATGTTTTCCTGACCAAGCTTCCCATACTCGGGGATGCCTGCAGCACAAGGATTGCATATCTCACCTCCCTTCTTGAAGTCACCGTAGCCAACCCTGTTGAAGGAGTATGAAAAAGGCGTTATTTTTCTTTCTTTATTAACGAAATCAAAACAGTTTTAGCAGTTGATTTACTACTGTTACTTTTCTGTATTATAGGAGCTACCAATCACAGTTTCTGTTGATGTGGAACCCAACTTCGTAGCAGTAGGTCTTTATCATCTGGCTGTAGGAATGAATAATCGAGCTTGGTTTTATATCCTTGGAGAGAATGGCAAGTCTAAATCTGGCTGTTGTACTTTTATCCAGCATGTAATTTCTGTTGTTATTTGCAGAGCAATGGAAGTTTCATTTAAGATCATCTTTCACTCTTTTTTGTTGTTGTTGTTTAGACATCTCTTTCTTAGTTTAAATGGTTTTATGAATCTTCTAAAAGTTTGCATGATCTTTAGAAAGATTTTATGCTTTACCTTTGGAGTGAAGACAGCATGGTATAGTGAGGAGATTATGAGCTTTAGAATTAGACAGGCTCTGGATTCAGTTTCCCCTTCTGCCTCTATAAGCTAAGTAACTATAGACAGAGTATTTTACCCTTGTGAGCCTTGGTTTACTCATCTAAAAATTGAGGATACTTTTAAGGGATCGTAAGGAAGATTAATGAAATAAAATGGGTGATCTCACTTTGTACAATGACTTTTTGCTAGGCACTCCTAAACCTGGTAGGTACCTAATAAATGTTCCCTCTCCTCTTTTATTCTTTGAATAATGGTGATTAGCATGTGAAGGAAACCTTGTTTTTTATTCCCCTCACACTTCCCCTCCCCCCCTTTCCCCAACTCTATATCAGATAGCAACCCTCAGGAATAAAACAAACCTGAAAATTAACCTGATAAATAGAAAACACCATTACTTCTTATCACTTAAGGTTTAATTCTTAGTTATTTTGCATGTGATTTTATTTCTTATTACTTTGTTTCATGTGAACTGTTATTGAATTCCTGAAGGCAAATTTATATGGCAACTAAGATTTTTCTTTAGAATGGCAAAAATAAAATTTTAAGTTCATATTGTTCTTACAAAGACACACATTTAAAGATTATTTGCAGATATTTATGTGAGATAGTTTTACCTGTATTTCAATGTTTTGGTTTTTTAAAAATTGCTACAGCTGTGAAAAAATTAAAAGATGTGGAATATCTGGGGACAGTAGCCAGTATTTGCCTTCATTCTGACTATGCTGCTGCACTTTTTGAAGGCAAAGTCCAGTTACACTTGGTAAGTATACTTTTGATGTCCTGGAAACCTGCTAAGTTAAGTGATGATGATGCATCCTAATGTCTGATTATCAAGAACTTTGGTCAGGAAGCAAGTATGTACAGACTAGCTGGAAAGCCAGGTGTGGGAAAAGGATTAACAAAACTCTTCCCCTTCTATATGAGATGTTCAGTTGACTTTCTAGTTCTGTTCCCCAGAAACCTTATAAATATCAACAGTGCTACTCACAACATTGCTTATAGTAAAAATGACCCTGTTGGTAAATTACATCTAGAAGGAACTATAAATGAGCTATTAAAAACCGGTTGTGGATGCCATACCTCTGGGCTTCCTGGAATGTATTGATTCTTACATTTGGGCATGTCATGTGTGGGGATCCTCAAAAGTATTCCTGTTGAGTTGTTCAAGAGATATTAGCACCTGTGAAGATGGGGCTTCTAAACCAGGCCTTCTCTCACATCTGTCTCTTGGTTCTTTGCATCTGAGAAGCCAAAGAGATTAGAAACTAGGCAGCTGCAGAGCCTGCTGCTGCAAAGACTGTTCCCATTAAAGAGAGACAATCTGATGTTGCCCTGCTGGCAAGCTGTGGTTCCTGTCTGAATCTTTCTGAGTCAACTGGCCTGTAGTAGTCTTGTGAGTCTGAATGTTTAGTTGAACATGAGAAAAAGGAACACCCTTCCCCAGATGTTGTACACCAGGTTTACTCAAATCTGTGAACCACTATTATTCTTTACGTTTTAGATAGAAAGTGAAATCTTGGATGCTCAAGAAGAACGTGAGACTCGACTTTTCCCAGCAGTGGATGATAAGTGCCGTATTTTATGTCATGCCTTAACTGGTGATTTCCTCATCTATGGTACAGATGTACGTATTGTCTTCTTTAACATAGAACTTAGGAAATTTCTGATTTGTACTTCATGATCTTGGTCATAGTCCTTTTCCTACCAGTTTTTGTTTGTTTGTTTGTTTCTATATTGAATCTAATGCCAGTAATGAAGTTATCTGTGAATAATTATATATTCACATAGAACACATAGGTGGCATGATTTGCTAGTAACTAGTGCTTTTGCGATTTTAAGCAATTTTGATGGCATAGTGAAAGGGCAGACTTTGGAGTCTGGCAAGTCTGGGCTCGAATCTAGTTCTCTTACTTGCTAGTTGTTGCTGAACCCCTCCACTCCTCACTTTCCTTATCCATGTGGGTGCTTTAAAGATTTAATTCGGTGATGAAGATGGGCACCTCATTCAAATTCAGATCTCCAGTGCCTACATTTACTCAATAAATAATACAATTAATTGAATATCGAGAATCTCACTTCAATCTGTTGGTCCTTTGAACCATCAGTACCCTGTATCTCTAAATGTTACATTAGCCACATGGACATAAAATATAGTTATAGGAATAGCATCTTAAATTTGTAAACACTTTGCACAATTTTTTCAAAGCATATAATACCTGTAACCTTACTCAGTCTCTAAAAGAATTCTTTAGAGTTGGTGGAAAAGGCATTGTTTTCTACATTGTAAAAAGTTATTCACTGCTTCAAAAGTCTCCTTTTTCTCACATTAAATTATTTTTTATAAAGAGCCTATTTTAAAACATGCCTATTGCCATATGAGAGGCTCTTTTAAATTTAAGTTTGACCTAAAATAAAAAGTCTCAGGGGAGAAGGGTTAGTGAAAAATTGGTTAATGGACACAAAGAATGATTACGTTTTGTAATGATGAATATGCTAATTATCCTGATTTGAACATCACATATTGTACACAGGTATTGATATTCAACTCTGTACCCCACAGATATGTATAATCAATTATGTTTCAATAATAAAATAAATAAGTAATAAAATAAAAGTTTTTGCAATATTTCACCTCAGCAGGGTGGGTGTTGTATATCAGATAAATTGGTAAGTGATATGGTAAATAATGGAAATAAAATAACATTTGTATTACACAACAGTCTGTAAAATCTTGATCTCACTTATTTTATTCAATAGCTCTGTAAAATAAGCAGGGAAATTTTAAAATGAGGACACTGAAAATTGAAAGGTTAGTAAGTTAGTAGCCGAAGTGGAACTTAAACAAGATTTCCTGATGCAAAGTTCATTCTTTCCACTATGCCACAGGACCTTTTGAAATAAGAAAGAAATGTTGTAATCTGCCATTAAAGCAGTATTTATCTCAATTTCATTCTTGAGTGATATTGAAAATATGTGGTTTTTAGCAACTTTATTGAATTATAATTGATATTCAATAAATTGCACTACTTAAAATATACAGTTTGATAAGTTTTGACATATGTATACAACCATGAGACACCATCACCTCAATGAAAATAGTGAACATATCCATCATCCAAGTTTTCTCATGCTCCTTTATGATCCCTTCCTCCTGTCCTGCCCACCTAGTGCTTTCTGTCACTACAAATGTAATAAATGTTTGTATTCTCTAGAGTTTTATATAAATGGAATCATATTGTATGTACTTCTTTTTTTGGCTTCTTTTATTCAACATAATTATTTTGAGATTTATCCCACGAATGCCAATAGTTCATTTCTGTTTATTGCTGAGTAGTATTCCATAGTATTATATATCATAATTTGCTTATCTATGAACCTATTGATGGGTATTTGAGTTGTTCCCAATTTGGGGTATTTACAAATAAAGTTGCTATAGACAGTTATGTTCAAGTCTTTGTATGGACATACGTTTTCTTTCCTCTTGAATAAATACCTAGAAGTGGCATTTGAGTTGTTCCCAATTTGGGGTATTTACAAATAAAGTTGCTATAGACAGATATGTTCAAGTCTTTGTATGGACATACGTTTTCTTTCCTCTTGAATAAATACCTAGAAGTGGAATGGCTATACATACAAGGGTACTTCAAAATGTTCATGGAAAAATGGAGTTAAAAAGTAATATGCATCTTTCCATGAACTTTTTGAAGTACCTTAGTATGATATGTTAACCTTTTAAGAAGTAGGCAGATCACTTTCTAAATTGGTTCTACATCCCATCAACAGCGTATGAATGTTCTAAGTCCTCTACATTCTCATTAACACATGACATGGTCAGTCATTTTCATTTTAGCTACTGTAATAGGTATGTTGTAATATCTCATTGTGATTTTAATTTGCATTCCTAATGGACTAATGATGTGGAGCATCTTTTCATATGCTTATTTGCTACCTGTTTATCTTTGGTGAAGTGTCTGTTCAAATTTTTTTTACCATTTTTTGATTGGATCATTTGTTTTCTTATTATTATATTTTGAGAATTCTTTATATATTCTAGATTCAAGTCCTTTATCATATATATATGCTTTGCAAGTATTTTCTGCCAGTGCATGGGTTGTCTTTTCATTCTCTTAACAGTGTCTTTCAAAGAGAAAAAAATTTTTTAATTTTGATGGAGTCCAGTTTACCAATTTATTCTTTTATGGATCATGCTTTTGGTTTCATATGTAAGAAATCTTTGCCTAGTCCAAGGTCACAAAGGCTTTCTCTTATGTTTTCTTCTAGAAGTTTTATAGTTTTATGTTTTACATTTAGGTCTGTGATTACTTTTGAGTTAATTTTTGTTTATGCTGTGAGGTACAGATCAGCGTTTAGTTCTTTGCATATGATATCCAATCATTCCAGTACCATTTGTTGAAAAGACTATCCTTCTTCCACTGAATCGCCTTTTGTACTTTTGTGATAAATCAGTTATCCCGATATGTGTGAGTCTTTTACTGGACTCTGTTCTATTCCACTGATCTATTTATCTATTGATAAACTAGTATCACACTGTTTTAATTACTGTAGCTTTATGATAAGTCTTGAAATCAGGTGGTGTTAGGCCCTCCAACTTTGTATTTCTTTTTCAGAGTTGTTTTGGCTTTGGTTGTTTCTCAGTCCTTTGCACTTCCATTTAAATTTTACAATAAGCTTGTCAACTTTTACAAGAAGCCTGTTGTGATTTTTGTTGAAATCATGTTGAATATACAGATCAATTGCCATCTTAACAATATTGAGCCTTCTCACCCATTTATTTCTCCACTTACTTAGGTTTTCTTTAATTTCTCTTAGCAGTGTTTTGGAGTTTTCTTTGCACAGATCTTTTACATCTTTTGTCAAATTTATACTTAAGTATATCATATTTTTGATAGTAATGTACATGGTATTAACTTTTTTATTTCAATTTCTGATTGTTCGTTTTTAGCATATAATTGCAACTGATTCTGTTATATTGATCTTGTGCTGCAACCTAGCTAAATTCACTTGTTAGTTCTAGTAACTTATTTGTTGTTTGCACTGGATTTTCTGTATAGTTGATCAGGTCATCTTTGAATAAATATAGTTTTACTTCTTCCTTTCCAATCTGAATGCCTTTTATTCTTTTCCTTCTCTGATTACACTGGCTAGAAGTTCCAATACATTCTTGAGTAGGAGTGATAAGAGTGGATATCCTTAGCTTGTCCTTAGCTGTAGATTGTTTTACAAATGCCAGTTTTCAGTTTGAGAAAGTTCTCTTCAATTCCTAGTGTGCTGAGAGTTTCTATGGATGTTAGATTTTCTCAAATGCTTTTTCTTCATCTATTGAAGTGATCACATAGTTTTTCTTTTTTAGTTTATTTATATTTTTGAATTGCATTGTTTACTTTTCAGATGTTAAACCGACCCTGCATTCCTGGGATAACCCCCACTTGATCATGATATATTCTTCTTTTCATATATCATTAAATTCATTTGCTCAAATTTTGATTAGAGTTTTTACATCTATATTCATGAGAGATATTGGTCTACTGTTTTCTTTCTTAATTAAAAGAAGTCAAAACCTTTGTCTCGTTTTGGTGTCAGGTTAATGCTGGCCTTATAGACTGAATTGGTCATCTTTAGTTTTCTGGATGAGTTTATTAGAATTAGTATTATTTTTCCTTAAATGTTTGATAGAATTCACCAGTGAAGGCTGTCAAGTGGTCAGGCAGTTCCCAAGCAGTAGCTCAGTGGTACCTACTAGGTTGGCTTTGGTGCACTTCCATAGATTCAGGTGAATTGTATATTATGTGAATTATATTTCAATAAGCTATTACTAAAAAATAAAAAAAAATTTTGTCTGGCCAGTTATCGCAGTTGGTTAGAGCACAGCCATATAACACCAAGGTCATGGGTTCAGATTCCAGTATCGTCCAGTGCAAAAAAAAAAATTAGAAAATTTTTAAATTTAAAAATAAAAAATAAAGTTCAGTCATCTTAAACAAAAATAAAAAAAATTTTGTCTGGCCAGTTATCGCAGTTGGTTAGAGCACAGCCATATAACACCAAGGTCATGGGTTCAGATTCCAGTATTGTCCAGTGCAAAAAAAAAAAATTAGAAAATTTTTAAATTTAAAAATAAAAAATAAAGTTCAGTCATCTTAAAAACAGGAAAAAGAATCATTGGGTATATCTGTGTCTATTTCTGGCTTCTCTATTCTGTTCCATTGATCTATGTGTCTATCACTAATATCGCACAGTCTTGATTACTGTAGCTATTTTAAAAAGCCTTGATACTGGGTAGACTAATTTCCCACCTTATTCTTTATTTTCAAAATTGTTTTAGCTATTCTTGTTCCTTTGCCTGTCATATAAATTTTAGAATAATTTTACCTATATCTACAGAAAATCTTGAGATTTTTATTGGAATGATCTTAAGCCTGTACATCATTTAGGGAGAATTAACATGTTTGCTATGGTGAGTCTTCTAGTCCATGAACATAGTATACCCCTCCATTTACTTACATCTTTGATTTCTTTTATCATTGTTTTGTAGTTTTCAGCATACAAATCCAGTGTAGGTTTTGTTAAATTTACAGCTAACTATTTCATTTCTTGAGTGATTGTAAATGATACTGTATTTTTAATTATGGTATCTGTATGTTCATTGCTAATATATATAGAAATAAAATTGACTGTATCAGGTGGTTTTCTGTTAGTTTTTATCATAAAATTAATTTATAATTTATCCACTAATTAACATAAAAATATTTGAAATAACATGATTTAAAAGTTACTCTTAACTAGTAAGGGTATTTCCAGAAAGCAGGAAATCTAAAAGCAATTATGCTTTATTATCACTAAGAAGATTAGCATTAATAGACTGTTAAATCATGTGTACATTCCTATTATACTTATTTTCTTGGGTCTGTACCTTTCTCATATACTAAATATTATTCTTAGGTTCTTTCCACATCAAAAATATAACATCTTTATCTTAAAATTAAGAAGTATGTTTATTTTAAATGCTGAAAGTCAGTATTTTCTTGACCATCTCATATTTCTATAACTATTTTTTTCAGACTGGTGTCATTCATTATTTCTACATTGAAGACTGGCAGTTCGTTAATGATTATCGACACTCTGTCAGTGTGAAAAAGATTTTTCCTGACCCAAATGGAACCAGATTAGTTTTCATTGATGAAAAAAGCGATGGATTTGTCTACTGTCCAGTAAGTCTAGAAAATTTTTAAATGCCTGTTTTTTTAAAAATGCATTATAGTATAAGAGGAAAAGTGTTGCTGGCCAGTTAGATCGGTTGGCTAGAGTGTGGTGCTGATAACACCAAGGTCCAGGGTTCAATCCCTGTACTGGCCAGCTCCCTCTGCCCCCCAAATAAAAAGAAAAGTGTTTTTAAAGTATATCTTCTATAAAACTTTTTCTTAAACAGTACCAAGGAATATAGTACTTTGTGATATGTTGGTGATCAATTTTCATGACTATGTCAGGAAAACTTTTTTCATTATTTTTTTTTGTCTTTTTTTTTTTTTTTTCGTGTCCGGCAACGGATCGCAACCCTCAGTGTCGCACCCACACCGGACCGGGACCAGCAACGGGATCACAACCCTCGGTGTTGCGCCCGCACCTC